AGCTTTCTTGCATATTTCCTGGCTTAGACTAGTGAGTGTTTCTAGTGCTACATCAGTGTGTGGAAACATTTCAACTTGTATTCTGTCCATTCTTGGAGTCTTGTTTTTTTGTTAATGTCTTCAATGCAGCTTGAACTTCTTCCTTCAGTACCACTGGTTCTTGATCATATGTTACTTCATGAAATGGCTAGATGTTGACCGACTCTTTTTGGTACTGTAACTTTTGATTGAGCCCATAAAATCTTTCAGTATTGCAAATCAACACTTGAATTTTTTCTTCAATTCTTTCAGCTTGAGAAGTGCTGAGCATGTTCTTCCCCTTTGGTTTTCTAACTCCACGTTTTGCACATTTCATTATAATCTGAATAGAATAAACAAGGAAATAAAAGAGCTGGACAGGACATTTCAACACTCAAGACAAGGAAAGTTTAGGAAACTGGAAGGCTGGAATCAGGGAAGAAGCTTATCTCTTTAGCTTCTATTCCTTGACAAATCTTGGTGATCAGTGGATGTGCCCGGCATCTACCTTCTATCTTTGCATACTTGCTTAAAGCACACCCTATACAAATACTGTGTCATTGACACAACAAAGAAAACCCATTTCCAAATGGGATTGTAAGAAATATTTATGGAAAACTGGAATTAAAACATAATGGAATTGTTCAGATGACCTTTTGGAAAACCTCTTATAGTGTTAGTATTCACAACTCACAGTGTATTTTTAGAGGACATGATTCCATACATGACAATGACCAGCCAGGCTCTGTACATTCTGTCTCTCTTTACCCTTTCTTCGGTCCCACAGTGGCTTTGCTAATCCTGCGTCCACCTCGGGAGCTTTGTATTTTGTGCTCCCTTGGCCTGGAAGCTCTTCTAAACGCTGCCTGGCTCCCTCCTTCAAGTCTTCATTCAAAGGTCTCCTCAGTGGTATATTTAACATGGCCAACCCCTCGCAGCTGTATTTTTCTACATCGTACATTTCTTTAACCATCTAACATATTACATGGTAGTCCTGGCATGGCACTGTGGGATAAGCACTGGACTGCTAACTGGAAAGTCAGCAGTTCAAACCCACCTGTCACTCCTCTTAAACCCTACACAGGGTCACTATGAGTCAAAACCTATTCAACGGCACTTAACAACATACTACACGGAGCTGTGATGGTACAGTGGTTAAGCACTTGACTATTAATTTAGAGATGGGCAGTTCAGACGCACCAGCTGCTCCCCAGGGAAAGCTGTGGCAGTCTGCTTTGGTCAAGATGACAGCCTTGGAAACCCCATGGGACAGTTCTACTCTGCCATGAAGAGTGGCTCGGCGTCAGGCTCGATGGCAGTGGATATCGTAGTACATGGTTTTGTCGTTATTAAGTACCCTCAACTCGGTTCCGACTCATAATGAGACTGTATGGGGTTTCCAAAGAGCAGCTGGTGGGTTTGAACCACCAACCTTGTAGTTAGCAGTCTAGTGCTTGTTTTTGTACTCCCTGCCCCCCACCACCAGCAGCAACCACCAAGGAGCCCTGATGGCTCTGCAGGATAAATAGTGGACCACTACCCAATCACAAGGTTGGCAGTTTAAATCCACCGGCCACTCCATGGGAGAAAGATGAGGCTGTCTGTTTCCATAAAGACTTGCAGCCTCAGAAACCCTATACAGGATCGCTATGAGTTACAAGCAACTCCATAGCATTGGGTTTGGTCTGTGGGTTTTTCTGTCTCCCCACCCCAGTAAACAGCTTCATGAGAACCAGGATTCTTGTGTTCACTGCTGTCTGCTCAGTGTCTGAAACAGTACCTGGAGGTAATAGGTTCTGAATAAATATGGATGGAATAAGCAGAGGCTGGTTTGTGCGCAGTTCCAGGTGAAAGCAGCAAAAAGTGAATGTAGTTCTTTGTCCACTTTCCTTCCTCCAGTGGTTGAGCTATGCATCGTGTACGGACAGAATGAGGAGGGCATGGCGGGGGAGCTCGTCGCCTTCGTCAGCACACACAAAGTCAACCTTACCCCAGAGACCCTGTGCTCTTTTGAGCATGAGGTAAGTCAAAACAACAGCAAACTTAGGACGCCGTTCTCCATTCTGCGCTATAGGGAGCTAGCACAAGACCTTGAGAAGAGTGTGGGCTTCAAAATCCAGTAGCCCCGCATCTCAGTCCCAGCATGAGCTTCAGCAAGCGATTTCTTTTCAGTGAGCATCAGTTTCCTCTTCTGTCGAGTGGTTTTGACTGTCCTCTCTGTGGTTGTTGTAAGGATGTGATAAGAATCTCTGACATACTATGAATGACAGCAGTGGTTGATCATCGACAGAATTGCTATTATTAGAAATATATGTTGCAAAGAGTTGCAGGCTAGCCTCCACTTTCATCTGTGGTACATCTTTGTAGAAATTAGGTCTTACTTTGAGGAATTTTATATCTTTGGGTTTTAGTTATATTTTTAATCAGCCACTGAAAACCCCATGGAGCATAGTTCTACTCTTGACATATGTGGGGTGGCCATGAATCAGAATGGACTCGACTGCAGTTAATGTTTGGTTGTTACCACCAAAGATTGTAGAACATGCCTCCCCTCTTCTTTACCTATGGAATCATGTCCTCACTGTCTTTCATTCCTCAGTTTCTCAGCAAAAGACTGTCCAAAGCCCGACTCAGTGCACCCAAGGACAGTGGACATGCAGGAGCTCGGGACATTATTTCCATTCAAGAGCTGTATCCTTTTCTGATGAAGGTCTCTGCATCCAGCCACATATTTTATTTTATAAATTTCTCTACAGTCGCTTATATAATTTACAAACAAATAATAAAAATTACCTAATACTCAAATTTCTTATTGAATCAGCCCTTGCCTTTGATTTTGGGTGGAAGTTTATTGTTTTATAGTTTATTTTGTTGTTGTCGTCACGGGGAATATACACAGTAGAACATGCACCATGAGTTCCTACATGGACAGTCCCGTGACATTTATTACATTCTTCAAGTTGTGTGACTAGTCCCCCCTTTTTATGAGTTGATTGTTCTCCATTAACATCAGCTCGCTGTCCCCTAGCTAATGTTTCAAGTTGCTGTTGTCAGTTTGAGCCCATATGGATGGATCTTCAAAGAGCACATGCTCAAGGTCGATATTCCTTACTAGTTAAGCTAAACTATTGTTGAGTTTTAAAAAGACCCTGTTGATGTTGTTAAGTGCCATGGAGTCAGTTCCAACTCATACTGACCAAGGAGCGACTGGTGAGTTCCAGTGTGGTTAGTAGTCCAGTGCTTATCCTATAGCACCACACCAGGCCTCCTAAGAAGACTCAGGGCATATATTTGGTTTAAGGTTTAAAAATGATCTCAGAGCAATAGTTTTAGGGTTTTATCTAGTTTCTGTGACTTCCTGAAAGTCTAGAGTTCATGAGAGTGGGAAATTCTGTTCTGCATTTTTCCCTTTTTGATCATAGATTCGTCTATGGAATCTTTTATCAAAATGTTGAGTAATAGTAGCCAAGCACCGTCTAGTTCTGGCTTCACGACCGAAGAGGCAGTGGTTCCTGGAGGTGCTTCCATCCCCTCTTCCTGTCCCTGACTCCTCCTTCCTCTGTTGCTCTAGGTGAGTAGAGACCAAGTGTTCTTTAGATGCCCATTTGCAGGCTTTTAAGACTCTAGGCACTACACAGTGACCTGGGCATACGAAGCACATATTAGACCAACTAACTGGCATGTCCGGTGAAAGGTTGGGTGGACATTTATTATGGATTTCCTGAACCAGTGTTTTTAGAATTGAGGTGGAAGAAGAAGAGGAGACCCTCTTGAATTCTTACACCACCCCCTCTAAGGTAAGTACGCACTGTTTGGAAATTGAACTTTGCAAGTAACATTTCTTTTTCCCTATATTCTAAAAATATTATTACGTTTGAAAAGCTAAGGGAGTCTATTCAGCATTCTCACACAGTTCCCAATCTGGTTCCTCCTGAACAGCTTCCTTTCTGATTAGATGTATAGCTGTTTTTACCTGATGGCTGTCCTTGTGAATGGATATTTATGTTTGTTTGTTTTTTCCAGATAATATGTTGCTATTAAGTGTCACTTCTGGCACATAGCAACCCTGTATAGGGTTTCCAAGGAGTGGCTCATGAATTTGAACTGCAGACCTTGTGGTTCAAACTGACCTTGAGGTCGAGTGCTTATCCTTCAGTGCCATACCAGGACTCCTCAGATAGCATATCATAAACATTTCTATAAATACTATTTCTTCATAATTGCCCTTTTAAATGGTGTGGCATTAAAGGAAAAACACTGCACTGCTAACTGCACTAATTGCTCCTTGGAAACCCTTTACATGGTAGCTATGAGTCAGAAGAACAGACTTGATACATTAAACACTAAAGACAGAAGACCAGAGAGCTGTGGGATGACATCAAGAACATCATACATGAAGAAAGCAAAATATCATTAAGAAGACAAGAAAGAAGGAAAAGGTCAAAATGGATGTCAGAAGAGACCATGAAACTTGCTCTCCAACGTAGAGATGCTAAAGCAAATGGAAGAAATTACGAGGTCCAAGAGCTGAACAGAAAATTTCAAAGATCAGCTTGAGAAGTTAAAGCCAAATATTACAACAAAATGTGCAAAGATCTGGAATCAGAAAACCAAAAAGGAAGAACACACTCGGCATTTCTCAAGCTAGGGGAACTAAAGAAAAAATTCAAACCTTGACTTT